CGCGTCCGCCTGAGCCCGCTGCTCACCGTCGCTTCAAGCTATACCCTAGTCACGCTGTGTTACGTCCGGCGTTGCCGCGCGGCTACTGCTCCTATTGACGTTTTGGCTGCACGCGCGTGGGCTTGCCCTCGTTTTCACGTTTGCGCTCGAGGCCACGCCAAGTTTCCCGTCACGTCGTTTGGAAGGTCACCGGCCGGCCGAGCCATGCCAAGGCCAACCCACTAAGCTGGCCCATCCTTGTAATCGAGCATGTTCGGTGGTTGAGTGGGAGGACAGCTATGCCTAACCTGCCACTATTGTGGTAGTACAATGGTGGGGCACCAATTTAAGTTTTTCACCATCGTCGGCCACCATAAGTCCGAACAGCGTCATCCAAGCAATTGGCCTCACGTACTCCACCTCCTTCCAATTAACCGTGCTCACAACTAGCTCAGGTAGTTAGCTTCCGATTGGAGTCGTCCCGACGAGCGTTTGTCCTACCGTGAGGTATTGCGGGGCGTTCCCCTCGTGGCTGTCTGCCATGGCCGTCGAGGTGGGTGCACGGCCAGGGCATCGCGCTGTGCTCCATTGTTGCAATTGAGCTGTGCTTTGCATAGCGTTTGACTTGGTTGCCTCGATCATGTAGCGGTTTCACCGACGGAGCAGCAGGTCACTGGGAACATCGTCGCCGCGCTTGTCGGGAATCAAAGCGACCCTGCGTGCATGGCCAGTCGCCTTGCCATGCCCCGCGACCTCGTCCATGCTGTCCTACGCATCACTGGTGAGGCCCTCCTGCTCCTCGTGTAGCTAGTTGAGTCGATCGAGATCGAGGCTCGACAGAGCACGTGCCCACCGCCGGCAGACGTTGTGTTGCCGCTGTGTCCATGGCTGATTTGATTGGGAGTAGAACGGGTGTATCTAGAACCTCTAGGGTGTTAGCGATACTCTAGGAGTGGAGGCTAGGTAGAAATGGTAGCTTTGGGCTTGACGTTTAGCCGACGTCGGCGTCACCGCGGCCAAACCCCGCCGTGGTGCACGGTCGTGCCTCTATACGCCACCAGTCATGATGGTTATTACCTCTTTCAACTGCGTTGGCGTTCAGGAGTGTCTCGGTGGTGAGTATTGCTGCCGAGAAGGTCTGTGCTCGCCAGCGTTGGTCGGAGACGTCCTAGCCTCTGTTAAATCCGACCAGGGATGTCGTAACGTAAATTTGAAATGAACTAGGGGGCTAAGTGCGAGCATTAGTGAGAGAGTGGAATAGTAGAAGGGACTACGAATTCATTTAGCTGAAAGCCAAGGTCTCTTTTGCATATTAGCCGGCGCGCGCGTCGGTCTCCCCGCGTTGGGCCGCTGTCGTGGGAGCGGGCCACCACGTGGGCCGCGCTGGTGCGCGCGCGTGGGTCGCGGTAGTGGGCTGTGTTGCTCACTTGTGGGTCGAGCCGCGAAGTTGTGGGCCACGCGGTAGAATACATTTTCCAATTTCTAGTAATGTTATAATTGTTTATTCAATTTAGTTTTTGAGCTGAACTTTGATAAATTGTAGTAAATTCTGTAGATGTCCAAAAATAGTGAAACCAAGTTTGTTAGGTTTACAAAAAATGTCATCTATCTATTAGTGTAGTTAGTTTACAATTAGTTATGTTAATAATAGGTTCATAAATTCAAACTGGAGAGCTTAATATTATGTAGATTAATATTTGTAGGAATTTTTGTGGCAAATTGTGGATATATATAGTTATGGGATGTTTACAGTAGGTTCATTAGACTATTATGTACTTGCTATAAATTTTATAGCCCTAGAGTAGGTTGATAAATAGAGTAGCTATTATCCTTGTTTTATTATATATAGATTAAATCGGTATTAGGAGTAAGAATACCTTTAGTTGTTGTGATAATGTATGTCACGCTTCAAACTTGTTAGTGGTAACGGTAGATAACTTAGTGCCTTAGCGGTAGGACTAGCTTAATAACTTGATAAGATATAGTTTATTTTAAGAGCTGATGTTGTCATATTATTAAGTGTTGCATCGTCATTTCATGCATGTAGATCACGAGTTGGTAGAGTTCATGCCCGTGGACGAACAGGATTATGAAGAGGTCATTGAGGAGTACGAGGAGGAGATCCTCGTGTAGGAGGGAGCCCTAGAGCCTTTTGGTGCTGACTTTGTTGACCCATCGGCTGCCTAAGGCAAGCCCCGGTGCATAACCCATATTTTATGATCACCGAATATATATATATATATATATATATATATATATATATATATATATATATATATATATATTGTGCATTTAAGTTACATGCATTTTATGGAAACTACATGCATAAATATATCTACCTATGAGTCCTACTAGTATAGATCGAGTAGCCGCTATGCTCAGGATATCGATAGCGTTAGTAACCTGCCGTTACTCACAATAGGTGATAATTATGATTACTCATGATAAAAGGGTGCAAAAGGAAAATGATGATCGGGCAGGATTATGGTTAGGTACTGGTGGGTGTAAGAGGTTGTGTCATGCGGCCAACAGGGCATAGCTTGGTTACACTTTTTCCCTATCTGTGTCGGTTAAGGACCGATCGTTGCATAAGTCTCGAGGCAAGTCATAGATCTATTATCCTGAGCACATACTTGGGCATGGGCGCTCTCTTATCATGGACCCGGCTCTTTCTGGACCGACTGATTGGAGGCGGGGATGGTGGAGGTCCTTGCACCACACTGAGTTCGGGACTCAGGAGTGGGGGCTTGGAGTCCAAGTTTGGACGGGGACCTGGACACCCAGGACTGGAGGGTGATGGGTTAGTCCCGCTTGTGCCTGGGGTACAAGCGGGGCATGTGTTTTTGGGGTATGCAGCTGGGGGCATTGATTCATGAATCGTCGGGGAATCCGGTACGGCTTGTTTTTGGGTCTAGCACCGTAGTAAGAACTGAAAGATGGAAGGTGATGAAATGAAACTGATTGCTCAACTCCTGCTTGAAAGTAGAATAGGTGTTTACATAGAATGACTAGATAATAAATCAATACGGCTATTAATAATATCATAAGTAAGGATTCACTAATAGCATTGCTTTCGGCCAAAAAGGAAACCAACAAGCCATAAAGCTTATCATATTCCATAGAGTTGGGAAATTATTCCCACTAGTCGGATAAGTCTTGCGAGTACATTGTGTACTCAGGGTTTATTTACCCCTGTTATAGGTAATGCATGAGAAGTACCATTGCGTGGAGGATTCTTCTGGTGGGCACAGACGGATCCTCGTTCCTTAATGCTAGATGTTTATTTTAAATTCCGTTGTTTATTATTCCGCACTCTGACATTTGGTAATATAATAATGTAATTTTTAAGAACTTCTGATGTATGAAATGGACAAGTATTGTAACTTGTTCTCATTATTGGATCCTTGGAAAAATATGGATCTTTTGGGTTCTCCCTTGGGGTGTGCCCGACGGATACCGACCATTGTAGCTTGCTTTCGGGGTGCTTAGTGTCTGGTGGAAGATGAGCACCTCCGTAAATGTGTTATTTTGGACGGTTCTACCACAGTTGGGAGCTTAACGGTGCACTACCAAAGCCGGGTCTCGACGACGGGCAAAACCGTGCGGCGGCGTGACTGTTCCGACTAAACTACGCGCATTCTGTAGAGTAGGGGCGGCCGATGAGTATCAGTGGCTCACCGTGGTGCCCGCTGCTGCAGCGGTTGGGGTAGAGGAGTGCCGAAGAGGACTGGCCATGTGCGTGCAGTGAGGTCGGCGGCACTCCGAGTGTGACACCATCGCGTCACCGCACCATCGATGGGCTGCCAGGCCAAGGCAATGCGAGCATCGAGTGAAGGGAGTCAAGGCGAGTCCAGAGATAACACCAATTGGAGCTCTCTCCCCATGTATTGGGACTTACCCCCAGCCCATCTGTTGCGGCGGCTTTCATGGCCGGCGGCGAGAAAACGCTAAATTGGTCGTCAATAGCGCTTGGCCGGGGATGAGGAAGATGGAGCGCCTAATTGACTTCCTAAGCCACTCTCATGCGTGAAGGCCCAGGCTATAAAACGCCTAGAGCTAGGTGGACCGGTGGGCGGCGGTGCGGTGCTCTAGCCGGGCTATGTCGTGGACAAGGCGCACGAGAGGGTTAAAACGGAGCGACATGGCTCGGTTAGCAGCAGCATGCACACACGCTCACAGGAGACGGGACCTATAAAATCGGCGTGACACATTTGAACCGAAGTGACCGAACGCGGCGGGGCTCACCCATGGCGGATAGCGAGTCAAAGCAAGGCACGGCAGGGAAACGTCCCATTGCTTCTACGGTCGGCCACCTTTGCGACACGGCGGCAGGTCTCCAAGGCACAGACGGGAGCGGTAGGTAGAACGAGGACTGGAGCGAGCGCCACGTCTACCAACAACGGCCGCCAAGGCACTGGCCTGGCCCTGCGCGTGGCGCAGTGGCACGGCGGCGGTTGCGACGGCACAGACAGGGAGGGATAGCTCTGGGGCGACACGGCAGCAGCGACGGCATCGGCCAGGCAGCAGCTAGCCAGGGCCGGCCAACGTTGGTGTGCGGAATAGCAGCAGCTAGCCCTTGCGCGACACAGCCGACGCACAGCGCGGCCGAACACAGCGGCACCAGGGCAAGGGCGCATTGACCGCGGCCACAGGACCAAATGGCCGAACTAATGATGTGCACGAATTTTAAAGCTCTGACCAAAACCAACCCTGCTCGGTTGAGACCAAACCAATTTTGCCAAGGCTCAAGAGAGTCCTAAAGGCTATCCCAAGGAGCATCAAACGCAAACTTAGATGAACTACTGAGAGAAATAGAGATACACCAAAATAGGTTCGTCAGGCCAGGCGCTGATTCACGAACGGAGCGCCAAAACCTGACTGCAACGCGTTCTAACGAAGTTTGGACAATTTTTACGAGAACAACATGATCTCCAACACGACTTCGACCTACACCATGCTCATGTACTCACCTTGGTACACCCAACAGTGCAAAAACGCGCTTGGCATGTATCCTCTTTTCTTTACGGCGAACTTTGGCTCCTATGGCATTTTCCACCCCAGCAGCACCAGCACTGGCTTCTTCTTCTTCCCCGGGTGCCTCTCTTACTGCTGCTCTGGTGCTGTTAGCAGTGCCCTCTGGTTTTCTCAGATGGTTCACAAGGAACACCGCAACCAGCAAGACCATAGTGGACAGGACCACTGCCGCCAACGCGAAGATATAGATGGATGTCTTCAGATGCTGCGTGCAGCCGGCGGCGTAGCCGCCCATGATTCCAATCAACCCGGCCGCCGTGCAGACAGACAGCGCATTGCTCCGAATGGCAGGACGGTACAGATTGGGGTTCACGAGGAGGATGATGAACGCGATGGACAGCATGAAGCTCACCGAGTTGCAGTAGAAGAAAGCCGTGTAACGGCGAGGGTAGTTGTTGAGCAGGACCGGATCGCCGGCGTGTCGCCCGGTATGGCTATCGTCCTGGACCAGAAAGCCACCAGGCGGTGTCAGCCCGGCTTGGTAGATGATGGTCGCGGCCAAGATCGCGAAGAGGAGCAGCCGCTTGCGCCTCTTCTCCACGAGCTTCTCCTCCGCATCATTTTTCTCTTCAACGGAAGCTTCATCATTCCCTCTCACGCTCGCGCTGCCGTCCTTGTGGTCCAGCGTCAACAAGACGACATGTATCACCACGTAGACCAGCACGACACCTGCCAGGGCCATGGCGTAGATGGACGTGCTCACGTCCCGGCAGCTGCCGGCGGCGTAGGCACCGATGAGGCCGAACAGGTCCAGCACCATGGCGGCCTCCAGCGCGTTGTGGTGGTGCTGGGTCTTCTTCCTAACCAGCACAATGGCGAGGCAACGAAGGCGATGGAGTTGCACTAGTAGAACGCCTTGTACCGCCTGGGATTCGTGGTCAAGAGGATCGGATCATCGGTCTTGTAGATGCTGCCGCTGCCGCCGTCGCTCTGCCAGAGGCCACCCGTCGGGTTCAGGCCTGCTTGGTAGGTGATGGCCGTTGCGAGAGTGGCGAGCAGCAGGACTAGAGAGCGAGCCTTCTCCAGTGCTTGATTCTGTTGCTTCTCATGCTCATCGCTGGTTAATTACAGAGAGAAACAGATCCATCAAAAAGTATAGAGAAACCAGAATCAAATTTCATAGTTCAATGCCCACTCTAATAATAATATGCTGAGCAAGTGAGCAGGAAGTAGGAAATGTGCTCTGTTTGTACCTGCCATTGCCATGGCCATTGCCATTGCCATTGACATTGACATTGCTAGTTCGAGTTTGTTGCTGCTGCTCATCACTGATAAATGACAGTGAAAACCAACCCGTCAAAATCGCAGGGGAAATAGTTTTGAACTGCATACTGTAACATTGCTAGTTTTAACTTGGAGAGTAGGAACAGGAGACTATGCTCTTCCAGTCTGTACCTGGCATTGCCATTACTAGTTTGCAGACCTTGAGTTTGTTGCTGCTGCTCATTGCTGATAAATGACAGTGAAAGAAATACCAATAAAAAATTGCAAGTAAAATGTCGTTGATTTGCATACTGCAATGCCAATAATTTGCAGAGTATATACAAAGATAAAGAGCCTGTTCGTTTCGGCTGAATTGGCTTATAAGCCATAGCTGAAAGTACTGCTGGCTGGTTTGGTGCGAGAGAAAAACACTATTCAAGCCGTGGATTATAAATCAGATACTTCCTCCATTTTCGTTTACTTGTCACCGAGTTTTTACTGTAGCAATTTTGACCATACGTTTTTTTCTGCAAAAGATTTTTAGATACATCAAGTTTTCACATATATAATTCTTTATTGAACGTACTTCATTAGTGTTATATACATTGAAGTATCTAAGTTTTTTTTAAAGAAAAAACAGATGGTCAAATTTGCTACTGACAAGTAAATCCAAATGGAGGGAAGTACGAGCGAATAAGTCGAAACGAACGTGCTGAAAGGACAGTATGTTCTTCCGTCCGTACCTGCACTGTTGTCATTGCTGGTTTCCGGACCTTGAGTCTGTTGACGCTCATCACTGATAGATTGCAGAGAAAACGGTGATTAGTTCGCATACTGAGCTGAAAACGGCGATAGAGCGAAGAAATTGCACAAAATTGCAGGGGACGACGAAGAAGGATCTGCCCTGTCCATGGTTGTGGCTGATTTGTTGTGAGAGAAAAATACTGTTTGTTGGCTGAGAAAATATAGTTTATAAGGCTATGATGAACAGGGCGTGTATATATATATATATATATATATATATATATATATATATATATATATATATATGATCTGCCAGTACCTGCCATTGCCATTAGTTTGTTGCCCCTGACTCGAATTTGCTCGTTGAAAGAGCAAAACAAAGACCACTTGGATGAGAATGCACACGGCAACGACACCAACCAGAGCGCTGACATAGATGGTCGTGTCAATCTGCCGGCTGCTGCCGGCAGCATACGCCGCCAGGAGGCTGATGAGCGTGACGGCGATGAAGCCGTAGATCTCATAGGACCGCACCTTCTGGCTGAAGCAGAGCTTCTTCTCCAGGAGCATGACGAGGATGAGCAGGGACGCGACGAACGCCGTGGTGTTGCAGACGAAGAACGCCTTGAGGCGCGCGTCGTGGGGCCCTCCCTCGAGGATGGCGTCGCCCGGGCGGTGGCCGTCCTCGGGGTGGTCCCAGAAGCCGCCCGGCGCGCTGAGGCCGGCGACGTACGTGACGCTCGCTGCGAACGTGGCCAGCAGCATGAGCACCTTGCGGAGCCGCTCCGGCGCGCTCTTCCCTCTCTTGTACTTGTCCTCCTCCGCCGGCGACCTCGAGGCGAGGACCAAGAGGTAGCCGACGACGCCGGCCGACAGCACCAGGGAGTAGACGGCCGTGAGCGTGTCCCGGAACGCCCCCACCGCGTAGGCGCCCATGAGGCTGAGCAGGTCCAGCACCATGACGGCCCGGAGGACGCCGAGCAGCGGCGCGAGCGTGAGCCCGGCCCCGCTGTCGTGCAGCACGGACAGGATGAGGACGAGGACGAGGACCACGAGCGACGAGGCGAAGGCGGTGGCGTTGCTGTAGAAGAAGGCCAGGTAGCGGCGTAGTTCGTGTCACGGATGATGGGGTCGTCGGCGATGCGGTGGGAGGCACGGTCGGCAATCTGCCAGACGCCGCCGGTGGGGGGGTGGGGAGGTTGAACCCCGCGCCATACGACCGTGGCCACCAGCGTAGCCAGCAGCAGGAGATACTTGCGCAGGCTGTACTCCCACGATTCATCCTTGCCGCCTGGGGTGTGAGTGTGGCCGTGTGAGCGGCTGGATGTGGATTGGAGACGCTGAATGTGACTATGTGAGGGCGTGCAGATTGGGAGTTTTAGCCCGTGTTTAGTTGGCTCAAGTTTGGAAATTTTGCTAATATAGTACTTTCGTTTTTATTTAGTAATTAATGTTCAATTATGGACTAATTAGGCTCAAAACGTTCGTCTTGTAATTTCCCACCAAACTGTGTAATTAGTTTTTTTTTCGTCTACATTTAATGCTCCATACACATATCGTAAAATTCGATGTGATGAATACTATAGCACTTTTTGAAAAATCTTTTTCAACTAAACACGGGTTATATATGACTTTTCAGCGACGACTTGACCTCGCGTGCTTACGTGTAGCAGAACTCAACCTGCCTGGACCCTGGAAGTGGAGGTGCCTCGTCTGTCGTCTCTGGCTTTGCCACGAAACTTCACGCCCCAGCTGCAGCGGGCACAAACCGTGGTCGTTGACGTGGAACTGGAGGCTAGGTCGTCGCAACTAAAGATGGCAACGGCCTCGATACCTAATAACTGACGGGTATTTGATCTATTAGGGAACGAGGATGTAATCATATCTTTACCCGTAGACATCTAAATGGATAAGAATCTATATCCGATGGGTATAGGCTGTGTTCGGCTCACCCAAAAAAATCACTGTATTAGTTGGCAGTTACTGTTTACGGCTGAATCTGTGAGAGAAAAATACTGTTCCGGATGAAAAAAGAAGCAGATCAAGCCGGGTTTGGGGTCAGCCGAACAATGCCATAGCGGGTACGGGAACGTTCCCTGTTTACCCGTCCCCGTTACCCGTTGGAAAACCCGACTATTTGAGCTGTCATATGAGTATTAGGCACAAAGAAGCTCAACATAGGTATTTTGGCTCAAATCTGAACAATCATATATATAGTTTGTGTATTCTAGGAACCCTAGTTCAATTTTTCCTCACCATCTCTGTCGCAGAACCGACCAATTTATAAGAATACAAGTACAATGGCAATCCGCAAGCGGTCGCACTGTCATACTTGAACCCATATAAACCCGGTAGTCCGTCGAGTACCACGACGGGTCTCGATAAACGATTTACAACAACCAAGATCGTACAGGATTCAACATACATGCCACATATTACATAAAGTTCGCAGGTACTTTTCATCATCAGAGTACGAATAGAAAGTTATTACAAACCGAGTTTGATAATTAAAGCGGAAGCAAATAAGTTCAAGATAAGTTTCCAACATAGTTTGATACAGTGCCATGCCGATTCACGATCCACAAAAGCAAAGATAGGAATTACTAAGGAAGCCTGCCCAAGGCTTACTCCTCATCCACAGCGGGATAGAAGCAACTCTTGCAATAACCATGATACACAAGTGCATCTCGCAACATTGGGAAAATAAACCACGAGTACGAGAAGGTACTTAGCTAGACTTACCCGTCATGAACCAGAAATAAAATGACTCCAAGGAGTATGCAAGGTCAGTATAAGTGGACGAAACTTGACAACATTTTGCGAAAAAAAAGGCAATTACCCGTTGAAAAATTATGATTCCTTTATCAAGTTAATTATAACTATCCATTTCTAGATTAGCAACTATCATGTGCCAAACATGTGGGATATCATTTAGAAGCATACAATAGTAACCATAGCAGGTATTGTAATTCCATATTCATCTCGAACCATCATGTTCCATAATACGCTTACTACGATGTTGGAGCTAGCCAAGTTTCTCACTATCCGGGAGAGACGGCGATTCAATCGATTTCAACCACCGAAATTTATTCCTAACACAAACCCAGTGTCTACCAACCACGATAGCCTTAGGTCACCTTTGGTACAACTCAGTACACATTTCAAGGGTCCGTATCACGCCGCTGTAACTGGAACACCAGATGCCAGGATGCTCGAGCCAAGCCTCGCCTTTGGGCTCGATCGATCGTTCCCGGAAGGCGCGCTAATGTAACGATTCCCGGCCGAGTTGAATTACTCGGCCATGGTCGGAACGAATTATCCGGCCAGCCTAAGTGAGAGGCATGCGTTCAATCTTGTCGAAGTTCCAACAACGGTGCGGTCCTTGATCGACACAGACGGGATAGATCCACACCCAAGACCTCCATGCCTTGTTGCTTTTCTATCGACATCCCGCCTGGTCTCCATTTACATTAACCATGGTTCTTTTCCACGATAGCAATTATAACCAACCGTGCTCGGTATCCACCTATATCTCGCAGTGACAGAAATCACCCGACTTCTACCGGTCTAAGCATGGCTAAGCATATATTCGATCCTGGACCTATACCGCTTAAAGGTGTAATATCCGGACAAGGAATGTACATGCATCAAGTGGTTTCATTCAACTCTTATAACCTAATGCAGCAATCATAAGTACTTAAATAAACATTTATAAATTATCGGAGACTTATAATGCTCCGGGCTTGCCTCGCATGAGAAAGGAAGTAGGGCGATGGTCGTCGGCACTCCGGAAGCTCTTCAGATTCTTCTCACTCCACGCCTTCGGGGCTGCGGCTTATGGATCCTCCTGCGGGTTCCCTTCCTCTCGCTTCTTCAATTCCAAAGAACGTGATCTCTTCCTCCGATCCTAGATGCATGAGTATGGTATAAGTATTACGAATGCATATATGTTAACAAGTGCATCACGTTGTTTGAGTAGGTGCATATCTCTTCTCGATTATTACTTAACTACTTCTACAATGCATCGACTATGCCACAAACAAGTAGCTACTTGTTTCACTAATAACTGAGTTCTACAAATCCAAATCCAGTGATCCTGGACTTTCTGGAAAGCTTATCAAATTCTCTACAACTTTGTTATTAACCATTTTACAGTACACATCATTTTCAACATGCAAATCCTCACACTCTAGAATCAGTCCGAAAATGATTTAACATGCAATATAAAGTAAGAATACTTCTACTTCCGGTAATCATTCAAAATTTGACAACCTAGAACCTACCAATAGTTTAAGCATACCAAATACAGTTAAGATGATATAATGGTGAAGCCCAAACTATTTATTAAATTGCCTTTATTATTTTATTTAGATATCTAGGTTAAATAATAAATATATATCAGATGTGCTGAATAAATTCTCAAAAATTTACAGAGCCTTAATAATGCTATCAAAGGACTACTATAAAAATTTCATGTCATTTTACCAAGTAGAACATTCTATACAAAAATGACAAGGCAGCAAGGCTTGAAATAGCATAAATGGAAAATCCTATTGAAAAGTGTCAAGCAACAGATTTCATATTTTTCTTAGCATCCATATGGTACTAGGATTACCTCCAACAAATTTCATGAATTTTGGACTCATACTTAATTTATGAAAATTCATGCAAGGATTAACTAGTCATAAAAGAAAAATCTATAACTTTAAATCTACCCATGCACTGGTCCTCAAATTTTTACCAGGGCTCACATATGCTAAGATTAGTTCACCACAAAAATTTCATAATTTTTGGAGCACAGGAACTCTAGATATAAAATAAACAAATTTGAATGCATTCAAAAGCACATTTCAAATCCCTATTTAAATCTCCAAAAATTTCTACTGTTGAAACCAAGAACATATTTTTCTTAAATACTACACTCCCTAAGCAACACAATCATATTTATTTCACAATTTTAGGAGCTACCAAACTAAAGATACAAAAATAACCAAACAAATCAAAAACTGGAATATTTGAACTAGCCTACAACATCATTGCTTTGCCGATGACGGGTGGGACCACCGGTCAGCAGGGGCCCTGTCGCTGAAACCGAAGCAGAGAGCCGGCGGCGCTGAGCAAGCTCGCGCGGCCACGGCTCGTCGACGGCGAGTCCGCCGGCGGTAACGTCTTCACGGCGTGACCTACTCAACCTAGCGCTTCTATTGAACCCCTTGGCCGACCCTAACGTCGACGGTAAGGACGACGGCGGCGGCCATGGCGGCTCGGCGAGGCGGGACGTCGGCGGGACGCCGGTGAAGGCTACGGCGGCTCAAACAAACGCTACGCCGAGCATCTACAGACTACAAAGGAAGCTAGTCTTGCGCGCTCGTGGCTTCGGGTGGTCAGGCTAGGCACAGCCACGGCGACGGGGGTGGCGGAGCTCCGGCGAGAGCATGTGCTGCGGCCTGCGCGAGGCTTACCAAGCGCGATTGACGAGCGGGTGGAGGCGGTGAGACGGGGGTGCTGGTGGAGCGATTGCTTTGTGGAGGAGAACCGACGAGGGTGATGGCGTTAGCTATGGCGACGGCGGCTCTCGCCAGCGAAGAAGAAATTTCTTCGCGAGGAAGGACGGCCGAGGCGAAGCGAAAATGGAGCGCAGGCGACTTCGGGCGACGCGGCGTTATAAAGCCTTCGGCATAACGTGGCTTCTTGCGGTCGAGGGCAACGGCGACGCTGCCGTCGCCGGGACACGCGGCGCCGAACTCTGCCGGTGTCGGCCATCGACGTCGTCGCGATTCGGGTTCGCTTCGATGACCCGATCAAAGGCTCTGACGGCGGTTTTTCATGGAGCTAGATCTTCTAATCCGTGAAGTATTAGTGCTCACAATCTACACAAAAGTTGTAGCCCTAAGTACCATCTGTAATTCGTCTTAAACGATCAAGACCTAATTCATAGCAGTTAAGGAGCAATGTCATCC